TAAATAATAATTAACACCAACACTTATAATAATGTATATTCATTTACAGCTGCATGAAATTGACCAATTGGGTTACTGTAGTGGATTTATAAGTTATGCATATTTGAACTATGTTTTGGTATAGTTCTTTGCAACTGGATACATAGTAATTATTGTGGTAGCTTGAAGTTTTGATTGTGTATATATAAATGACTAGCAGTTTGAGCAATTGCTAAATTGATTAATTTGAAAATTAATAATTATTGTTGTTAATTGAAGACTATTTGGTTTATACCCATTTTCACAGATACATAAATTTGACTAAACAATTTTCCAGACCGTTTCTTTTATAATTATAATAAGAATAATTGCTTACATTTATATAGCGCTTTTCTGGATACTCCACTCAAAGCGCTTTACAGGTAATGGGGACTCCCCTCCACCACCTCCAATGTGCAGCATCCACCTGGATGATGTGACGGCAGCCATAGTGCACCAGAACACTCATCACACATCAGCTATCAGTGGGGAAGACAGCAGTGTAATGAAGCCAATTCATAGATGGGGATTATTAGGAGGCCATGATTGGTAAGGGCCAATGGGAAATTTGGCCAGGACACCAGGGTTACACCTCTACTCTTTTCGATAAACGACCTGGGATTTTTAATGACCACAGAGAGTCAAGACCACGATTTTACGTCTCATCCGAAGGACGGCTTCAATAAAAGTAATTCTTAAAATTGTAGTGATTATTCTTTAGAATAAGTGATTATTCTCAGTGGACTGGCAGTTTTAGTTATTTAAATTAATTATTTTGAGAAAAAGAAAGCCAAGACCTGGGTTCCTAACATGCAGTGTTAGCTAAAGTACAAGAGAAAGTTGTTATGAGGTACAAGAGAGTGTTGCCTCTCTCATGTAGTTTCTGTAATGGCAAGATTAGACTTAGTGACCAGGGCCTGGTAAATGTGACTGTTTTAAGTATAATGGTAATTGTTGCAAAGCTTTTCTCTTTGTTACGCTGCTATGTTTTGGAAGAATCAATGAAATACAATCCTTTTGAAACCACAGTCCTACCAGAGGCTCATATTATTTTATAGTTTACATGAATAACGCATTTGTGAAGAGTGTTCTTGGATATATGTTGCTTGCGGGTAATAGCAAAACAAATAGTAATTATACTCATTTCATTTGTCCTCTGGGAGACAACACTTCTGATATCCTGCCAGTCCACTGAGAATGATCATTTTATTGAATTTTAAAGAATTACTTTTATTGAAGTCTGAAAAGAGAGGAGGTAGAGTGAGCATATGGTCTTATCGTTAGATGAAGATACTTGCACAGAAGGCACTGTATGTGCAAAGAGAGGAAAGATTTTGGAGTTTTTTGACATTATGGTCTATTTTAAATTTGCACAGATATTTTCAAATCAGCATTGTCAAGCTAATAAATTGAGAACGCCTGGAAGCTTGTTAGAGGTCAGCAGATCACACGGATTCCAATCTTGTTTTAAATCCTGCAGGGCTCTCAGACAGTCCTTTGTAATAAAGGGGACAGCTTGATGAAAATCATCTTTATGGGTGGCTGCTAGGAGGCTTCTGAGAGAAACCTCAGATAAAGTCCAAAAAAAGGTTAAGCTGTTGCCAAGCATTCAGGAACCACATACTGTCTTTGAGTTGCAAAAAGATTAAATTGCTCTTCGGCAGTGGTTGGTTTTGTGTCACTGAGCACAGTATTGTAGCTGTAAGAGAAAAGCAGGACGATAAAACACAAATGTCAGTGATGAAGACCCTTAGCAACCACTTAACATAGGGTACTTCAGGCTACTCCAAATGTCTGTTAAACTGACCTTGATTGCTTAGTTAAAACTAAGAGATGTTTGGTGTCATTTAATTGCCCTGAAATTAGCAATATTTCAGAATCCCTAACCTTTCCCCCTGTTAAATTTGTTTAAAAAAACCATCTATCAATTTCTAAATAGCTTGTGTCACTTGCACTGGATCAAAAGTGTTGACTAAAGTGGTTAACCACAATGATAATCGCATAAAGCTTGTTTGTGGATCCTCAGAATTCTTCTTGGACAACGAGGCTGGTGAATTTCCACAAATTCAACAATCATTAAAAAAATCATCTTGAAGTCTTGAAGAAGAATTGTGAGAGTTGGGCCTAAGCTAGAGATCACTCCTAATCCGACCCATAACAGTGTTAATTGTTCATGACAAGGTAGTGATGCAGGAAAAATAAACCTTGCTCCGAGACACAAGGAAAAGATTTGAAATGAAGCAATACTGCTTTAGTTATAAAAAGTATTAAATGCAAGGATTACTGCATGTCTGACAATGCTAGCATTACTTAAGTGTCTAAATTCTGTTCTGCCTCCTTTTAAAAAGACATGTATATATGTATTCTTTAGCTATTGGAAGCTGTGATTAAAATAGCTTAAGAAGATCAAGCGGTTTTGTGAGGATCAGCTTTATGATAACACATGACCAATCGTGAGCCATGATTTTGGCGTTGTTAGGATTTGAAAGGCTGGATTTCTCAGCACGTTTGACATTTGGGCAATAAGCTTATAGGCATAATGCATGTACAGATCAGGCAGATGGGGGTGACTTCATAATCACTTAAGGTAGGCAAACAAAGAACCAGCTCATAGACTAAGCATTAACAGGCTTTAATAAGAGTGTTATCCTTCTTCTTGGCCTTAGCATTAAATTAAAATTTAGGTCAGGGAATAGAAATGAGGTTGCCAGTCAATCTATGTTTTGGATGTTCTGGTATCTGCACGTTAGAAAATAAAAAAAACACCAAACAATGGTCTTTAAAGTAAATTAACATATTTTTCATTAAGTACTATCCCTGCAGTCTCATGTGCTTTAACTACCCATCAATTATGCTTACTTTAGAACCCCAAAGCCACCAGCAGATTATTTGAAGTGGAATACATCTTTATCCACAACATTTCTTTCATTTATTAGATAATAAAACCAGAGTTTTCAGAGAATTAACCACTTTTTTAAATGCTAGCAGTTCCAAAGCTAATTAGTAATAGTGAGATTTGTTTGCTCATTTAAATAAAATCCACGAATAATGAAGCTTTGTGACCTCATTTTAAACCATCACTTTAAAAAAGAAGCTGACTTACATGTTCCAGCAAGGCTCTTGGATCTCAGTAGCTGCTTGTTTTTATTCTATTTTTTGAGACCACTGAGGCTCATCTGAGACAAAGTCAAAAATAACTCTAGTATCAGAAGCTAAATTTGTTGCACGCAAAGAATTGTCTTGCATTTTGTTTTTAAAGTCAGTGCTGTCTGTTTTTTTTAGCATACAGTAGATTATTTTTCTTAATGATTCACCTTCTTGACAAAACTATTGGCATTAGATTGAGGTTTCTGTTTTTGTAAAATATATGATGACATTATAGATCAACTTGAGGTCAAAATGTTGCCAATTTAAAAAGGCTCTATATAAAGTAAAAGTTCTTATAAGGTCATGAAGGTTTATTAAAAGATTAAGAATCTATAACTCTCTGTGGAGTCAGTCTGGTCTTTATTTACATTATATGTTCTGTGTGTCTGGGAGTCACTGAGGGAATTTAAAGAAAATGTTCATTCAAAGGTTATGTGATTTCCTTATTCAATCCAAGTGGTCTCAAAAATATCCATCCCTTGAGATTTTATGACATTGTTTTTGTTGTGAGAATGTATATTGTAGGTTTATGGTTCCCAACTCTGATGGAGTAATTTAGTTACACAAATAAAACCCAATAGACACAGGGAAAAGTACTGCATTGAATGCATCCAGTTCAATATCCCGACAATTATTATTTGTAAGAAAAGGGAACCCTTAAGATACAGTAAACTGTTTCCCGAGATTAAATATGTGTAAATTTCTAATAAATTCCTACTATCCTAGTAAATTCCCAGGGAGAGGACTTCAATAAGATTTCTCAGCTCTTGAGTTCAGGAGCAAGTTTGTTCTTTGGATCTGCCTCCGAGCGTCCTATTTAAAAACTTCACGGATTTAAATGTGCTGCGTCCTAATGGCATATAATTAACCTCCAAGTCATAAATCTTTTTTTCACATTATGAAGGTCCAGCAAGGAACCACTTAAAAAAAGATTAAAAAAGACACCTGGTATATTTATTTTATTATGTTAATAAAATACATTTTAAGATTTGTGAGTGGGAAGTTTTAAGGGAACCATTTGTAATGTAATTGAAGGTGGTTTCATTAGGGCAATTAACCAACAGGTTTGGTGATGTACAGTATACAGTAAGTAGTCATTCAACCATTCAGACATACATGAAAGACATGAGTATTGAGTTTCAAATGTGTTTGAAATTGGATGGGTATAGACATATAGTTTAAGTTTTGAAGTTCTTAAATGTGTATGAATATTATATTTCAATTTCAATTCTAGCTGTGAACTGTGCATTACAGACATTAAAATGTTTGAATGAAAGAATGGTTTATGAATGATTTCCGTTCCTTCTGCTCACTCCTTCACTATGATTTCGTATTCACAAGGTTTCGTCTGATATCTCAGTCCATTAGGTGGAGAGGAAATGTCATAATGTCCCTCTTAATTTTTCACTAACTCTTTAGCATTCAAGCAACAATCCTGTTGTAAAGATTGAACTGTCTGGCTACACATCTTCATGATGGATGAGGAAAGTGTATCAATGGAACATTTTCATTTACCGATCATTCACACACAGACTTTAATGTAAAATCATATGGGTTGAAAATGTGTGTGTTTCAAATTACTTGTGCTGGGGGGACAGTAACTTTAGGAGAAGTGCACCACCTAGAGGGACTGTTTTTGGCTCCACTTTACCTTGCTTTGGTATCAGCCCAGTACTGTAAGTCCAATTTCAAATATTTCTTTTCGTTTGTCAAAGTACATTAAACAAATTAACAGCTTTCAGGCCTGGGAAACCCATCCATATTGCAAAAACCGTGTGACAAAATATTGTCTCCTTTAAAAATTGATAATGTTTTTTCTTCCTGCCTCTCTGTAGCTGTGTGGCTGTGGGCTGCTGGGAGTAGGAATATGGCTGTCAGTGTCACAGGGCAGTTTCGCCACCTTCTCGCCCTCTTTTCCCTCGCTTTCCGCCGCCAATCTGGTCATCGCCATTGGCTCCATCGTCATGGTGACCGGGTTTTTGGGATGCCTGGGTGCCATAAAGGAAAACAAGTGCCTCCTTTTGAGTGTAAGTTGGCTTCTTTTAGATTACCCAGAGAGTGATAACAGGTCTTGTTTTAGTAAGTTGGACACAGAAGTTAAATCATCATAAAAACAAAGGTGGAAATGAAAACAAAAATGAAGCTACGCATCTTTGAATAGATAAAGCACATACAGTACCAGCTTCATTTTGTGCTCATGCGTTTCATATATAGTATCTGCTGTATATACCTAGATACTTTTGTTTTAAAATGCAGTTAGAATAAGAAATAAAGAAAATTGTATCTCCAAAAAGTTTTGAGCAAGCTTTCTGTTTGAATTTGTGATAAAAAAAATTGTCGTTAGTCAGTTTCAAACAGTTTTGTAAGTGCAGGTTCTTTATAGAGTACATACAAAATAGAGTATATATTTATATTGTATAGTTCAATTCAATTTCAAATGAATTTGAATTTTCTAATGTAAATGTCCTTAGGATAGAGTATCACTGAGTAGTGCTAACAAAAGCATTGATTAAGAATGCAAGCAAATTATTCATCAGTTGTGGTAGAAATATACATGTGTAAATTATGATGTTTTATCAGGTGTATTAATTCAGAATTAGGTGTACAGGTGTTAAAAAAAAATTACATCTGCTGCAGATTTGCTGTATTTCAGACTACATAATCCATGATAATGATAATAATGATAATGTTTCTTTATTAGCCCTATACAATTTCTTGCATTAGGAATGCGTCTTTTCGCATACCCCAGCTTTTCTCCATGGAGACACAGACACAGAGACAGGGAGAGAAGCTTGGGGTCAGAGCGCAGGGTCTGCCATTGTACGGCGCCCCTGGAGCAGTTAGGGTTTAAGGGCCTTGCTCAGGGGCCCAACGGAGTAGGATTCCTCTGCCGGCCGTGGGATTTGAACCGGCATCCTTCCAGTCACAGGCGCAGATCCTTAGCCACAGAGCCACCGCTCCGCCCACGGAATAATGGATTCTATAATCCATTATAGAAAGGAGAACTGTGTGCAGTTGTCAAAAGGTGTATCATTAATCACAGACATTTCTTTATTGAAATTTGCAGTACTACCACATAATAGTTTACATTTATATTAAACATTGTTCTAGGCTACTTTATTGTTTGTTAAAGATATATAAATATTGAAAATTCAATGAAAGCAAACGATGTATTAGTAAAGCCTGAGAGTGTCTGTTTTTGTTTTCTTTCAGTTTTTCATTGTTTTGCTGATCATCCTCCTGGCAGAGCTGATATTGCTGATTTTGTTCTTCGTTTATATGGACAAGGTAAGAATATTTATGTCACTTCTCCTGCATTGAAGCACCTGGAATATGCGCAAATTCTTAATTCATCAAACTTTATTAAGTTTTTAATTTTCTTAGATTATGCTGTTCAATTAAATATTATGTAACTAAGAACATGGACATGATGAACTTCTTTGGTGCATCTTTTACCCTTTTAAAGTCTGTTTTGTGATGTTAGAAATGTTTTTGTACATTTCTAATATTCCTGCACAAAATGGACGTTTTGAAACTGGTTTTCAATGTAAGCAGAAGAATTAAGACCCTGCAAAAATGCAGAACTGCTGATGAAGCCTTGGAGATAGAAAGAAAACGTGTTTATGCCACACCACAGGCAACTTTTAAATCATGTTCTGTTCAGAGTGTAATCATTGCTTTCAATCTGCGGCAAAATGGACAGGTGACTCTGCTGTGTGTAGTTTACAGTTGATTTCTCCTTATGGTCACGTGGGATTTCCCCAGGTACTCGTGCATTTTTTGGGTTGCCTCAGTATGCTTCCGCATTCCATAGACTTGAAGACATGTAGGCTGGGTTTGATTGGCAACCTGAGAATCCCCCAGTCAAAAGAACCCAGGAACCCCTGGGCTCTAATCATGGATTTGTCATAGAACAGAGCCATGTTGTTCTCAACAGTTTGACAGGAAGTTAAAGCCAGACACAGGCCACAGTCAAGAGTCACATAACCTTATCAAGATCAATGGGGGGCGCAAGAGTCATGATGCTCATCCTGACTTCATTGAGTAGATCCTTTAACCTCACATGCCGTCCTTTCTATGATAACAATCTAGCAGAACAGTGCACATCCTTGTGCTGCTTGTGTGTCAACAACATTTTACAAGATCAGAATGTAACACCCAAAATGTGTGAGATAACATGTGACAGTTCAGAGGCCAGTAAACAGGTACTACTTTATATGTGCTTGTCCAGGCTGTTTGAAAGGAATAGGCCAGACTCCCGCAAGAAATTAGATTCTGCTGCTTCCAGATCCTCTGTTGACAAATGTCTGATCATTAAAATGTGAATGTACTGTACCTTCTACAAAAAGATTTGATGTTTCTGATTATAACGTGTGTTGCAGTTATAAGTGATTAATTTATTTTGTTGGTCAGTATAGTAATTAAATAAAAGGATAGTCACAAATAGTAAAATCTTTGCTTTTTTTTTCATTAATTTAACTGAATTTTAAGTTTGTTGTGGGTCATCTTCACAGAATAGTAAATCGAACCCACAGAATTCTACAGTATCACAATCCAACTTGTTCTTCCCTTTAGAAAGGTTCAGAATTGGAAAAATTTCATACTCCAAGACCTAAGTATCTCACATCCGAGGAATGTCAAGCTGTGGTTAAGGTTTTAACTTATCTTCCTTGTAAATTAATTAAGAATCAGATTTTTGTTTGTATTGTGCTTTAGAGCTACTTAATTGCTTGCTCTTAAGGTCACTGACATGCCCTTGAAATGTGAGGCAAGCCTACACAATTGAGCTCAATCAGGCCAATTGGCAAAACATAATTGTTTGCAGGCTTCTCCTGCTCTCTTTGCTTCTTACACAGCATTCAGGCAGCTTCTAGGTTTCCCATGACCTTTCCCTTCACCCCTGGCTTCTCAACACAAGGGGTTACTTTAGAATAAGCAATATTTTTAATTCAGAGGGGTAAACAAAGCCCCCAAGATTATCGACAGTCATGAGAGCCTAGGAATAAATGTGACTGCAAGTATCTTTAGCCCAAGAGTACAAAGTCAGAATGCTATAATGTTAAATAAATGACTGAAATGAATCTTTTTTGCTAACATTGTGCAGCTGGCAATTACAGTTGTCATAAAGATCATTGTCTGAGTACTTCTGTTATGTGTGTGGCTATTACTATAGTGCTATATGCTGTTGGTAAAATATATCCAGTATATACTTTATATTTGGGCTTAAAAAATGAAGTTTGCTGCTGTACAAAAATAATGATAGATTGCTTTACTCTTTTTCCATCTTTATTCAGAATGGCACCTTCTGAAATCTTAAACATTTTGTTTTCAGATAATGCTTCAATCTGGATATATCTGGGTGTTTTTGTTTCAGAAAGTAGAGGAACAACTAATAAGAACACCAATGAGTCAGTTAGATTTCATTGTTAAATATAATGGATTAGCTGCTACAACACTTCACATTAGCTGCACTTTTGTAGTTTACCTTGAAATGTGATTTTTGAAGGTTCTGATCAATGTAAGTAAAACCTTTCCTTTCACCCAAACTGTTACAAAATATTAATAAATCAATTACACTATTAATTATTTAATTATTTGGTTAACTACTGTATAGTTACATGATTACCTGACCTTGTACATTGTCAAATAAAAAATTACAAAGAGCTCAGTTTAGAAGCAGCGCAGAAATTTGAAAGCTAAACTATATTTTTGACTGTTTTCATTTAATAAATAAACATTTTGACATTTAAGCCCATTTCATTGCACTTTAGGACATAGACAATACATCTAAAACAATTTGTGCCTTTTCATTTTTTGTGTGATATTTAGAAAATGTCTTTAAAATATTTTAAAAGTGTTATGTTTTATGGTTAAATCATGTTTAGTATTTCAGTTATGAAATTATGACCACTCAGTTATGAAATACAATTCCCAGGAAGTCCAAACAGTACCATGTATTTTCTATTATTTGTTTATAGGAGGCCACTTCAGTTGGTCTCTGTACACACAGTCTTGGTTTTTAAAGGTTAAACATGTAAAACTGTTTATAGTAATACACTAAATTATATTTTTATTATATTAGTTTTATATTAAATAGATAACAGTAATTTATTGTTTGACCATTTGTCAAACACCTATTAAGTCCATATTAGGAACATAGTTATTTGAATAGATAACACTACAGTAGTAAAGGCTTAAAGTCAATTGCCAATGTTCATATCATGCAATTATTAAAATGTAAATTGTGACTAAGATGTCTAAGACATTTGTGCAGCATTATCCATTAAAAACTTGCAATTACCTTTGCTTTTTGCTGTTCTGCTTTTTTAAGTTTGTTGTCACTATTAGACAGGCACTAAATTGAAAAATAACCACAAGCAATTTGCGATTTTTCTTGTGTCATTTGAAATGTAAAAAAACCCATGTAAAAGAATGCACTTGGCCTCAGTATATGTAATACCAATGTTGAAACTAATCTTAGGTTATTGTGGTTATCTGTACCAATATCATGTTCTGTTATATTGAAATGAATACTGGAGTGTACCCAATTTCCCCATAGTATATGTTGGCTTGTGGAATAAATAGCAGCTGCTTACAAAACCATTTTTATCAGGCCCCGTGTGACAAAATAATTACACAAATAACGAAACAAACAGCTGTGTTTATATACTCCATTTTATGCTTGGTGTTTGTCACAGTATAATGAATGCTTAAGTTAAGATTTCTCATTTGGACATTTTAAAATCTACATCCAAGTTTGTAGAATGCAGTTTTTCTCACACTGGGGTTTTGAACTTTCTTTATTTCTTGCTTCCAAACTGGGCTCCCATGTGATCTGTTTATTAAAACCCATCTCCTGAGTGCATTTTGCATCCTTGAGACTTTCCTTAATTTACTATTTTGAATTTCTAAAAAACCAATAGCCTTTTCTTGTCGCATTCTAGCTTGTGTCAGTGACAACTGAATACAATTGTAATTTTGATTGCGAAAATAATATATAGTTTCAAGCTTTGTATTTTCTCATGGTGTTCAAATAATGCCATTGGTGTTAAAAATTCTATCAGATGGGTTTAAATGAACATTATTTTTACAGTCTCAAAAGCATCTTTTACACATGTGCATTTATGTAAAAATAACATAAACATATTTCCATCTGTACTTCCATATCAAGATAATGTTTATTTTGTGCCTGAAATAATGGAACATGAAAAAATGGCATTAAGTGTTCTGGCTAAATCTGCAAAATCCAATGGAGATGTACACAGTCTGGCCTCTCAGAATTTCACCCTTCAGTTGGTTAAGAAACTTCTCACCTGATCTGCATGTATTCAAGTGCTGTGAACTCTTGTGGTTCAGGGGTGGACAAATTAGCTCCCATTCTATAGGCGAAATGCCTTGGGATCTTTTAGAATGAAAGACACTATACAAATGCAAGCAGTTATTTTAAATTATTTAGTTGCCATGATGTTTATTCCATTTTTAAGACACAAAGTATTAAAGAGCTAGGCTCTTCATGTAAAGCATCTGTGATTTCTCAGTCTTTTCTAAGTGTATGAGGATGAATGTTCATTTTTGTTGTTATTCGATCTTAAAATTACATGTCATTTATTAATGAAGGCACAAGTAATATTGATTTGTACATACCATTAAATGAAATGAAACATTAATAGTTGCAGTAGCTGGCTATGTCCTTCATAAAAAATGTATGACCATTAAATATTTCAAGGGCTAAATTTCAGAACAGAGTGAAACCTTTATATTGCTTACCCTAGCAGGGCTCTTAAACAAGCTGAAAATCATGGCTTCATCAAAATCATCTAATATTCCATTATTATTGTGTAGTATAAACTACCAATTTCAGATAAACTTGTACTTTGTGTTCTGTTGTGTAGTAGTTGGCCATCTTACGATAACAGATGGTAAATCCAAAGAGGTGATTAGATGATCTATCTTTAACACTGTGGCCTTATTTCCAGTATGCTTTTGCAATTACAGAACAAAATAAAAGCATATTATTATCTAATTTGTTACAATCCTATAAATCCAGGTGTTCCTATTTCACATTGGAATAGCTACAGTGCATCTTGGTTTGTTCAAAGACAATACAGTTTAATTTCACTTATACTTTGTTTGTCACTTGGCAGTATTTTGGGAAATATGACAGGTTCTTGTCCATGGAGGCAGGCTCCTCAGATATCTTTCAGTCTGATTTCCCAAGAGCACTATTCAGGGAAGTAAATATTGCTCACATTAATTATCATAACAGCACTGTAAACTCCAGTCACAAAATCAAAACCCTCAATCAAAACTTAAACCCTGTTGTGGCATTGGAGATGAAAGAACATGGCTGTCAGGCTTGATTTCAGACCATCTGATGCTCTTATGGTTGGGAATCTTCTTTGTTCAGACCTCGTCCTGAGCAACAGATATGAGCAAGGACAGGCAATGTATTGTGAAGGCAGGAGCATGTGCATCTTTTGGATGTATGAAAGGAATATGAAAGAGATTTAAAGTGTAAAAAGCAAATGTATGGACATCATCACCTAAATCGCCCATGTGACTTGACCTCGAATTTCTGTTGTACTGAGCACTGTGCATTTGATGCAAATGTCTTATAAGTTACTGATTTTATAACCAGTTATGATTACATCATAGATTGATCAGAAAGTAACAAGTAAATTACTTTTCAATGTATTTGTTGTGGTAATTCGTTGTGCATTACCAAGATCTTTTGTTTTATACACATTCCAATTAAATTTAAAAGGATTTTATACTAAATATTGTTCATATGGTAGTTCCCAAAGTATTTTTTCATTGTAAGCTTAAAGTTATGAAATGATAATACTTATTGAATATACTTGATGTTAAAACTTTTTTAACATTCCAAAAAACATACAAGCAGGACATGTTATTATAAACAGCACCCTTAGTTAGAATATTAAGTAGAAGTGACATCTTCCAATGTGTGACACCGTTGTGAAAATGCTGTTTGTTAGCCATTGTCACACCTCATGGTTCATGGTTCGCTTTCCTCATTACTGCACCTATCCAACAGTACGCTGTTCACTGCCTTAATGGACCAGAA